CCGCCTTCCCAAACAGCGGGCGCAGATGTTCCCATGCACAACCTGACTCAACCTGAATGCCTAAAACTTCTCAAGCCCTTAGAGGACCCCTCTAAGCCCCTAGTTCTTGGAAACCCTAAACCCGAGAACCCTGAGCCTTCTGTCCAACGTCGGCCGCCCTAAACCCTAAACCCTATACCCTAAACCCTAAACCCCAAACCCTAAACCCTAAACCCTAAACCCTAAACCCTAAACCCTAAACCCTAAGCCCTAAGCCCTAAACCCTAAACCCTAAACCCTAAACCCTAAACCCTACCTAAGAACCCTGAGCCTTCTGTCCAACCTAGGCCGCGTTTGCTCGACTCGTGAGAGTGCCGCGCAGTTGAAGAAACGCCGATCCGATGGTTTAGGGTGTAGGGTTTAGGGTTTACCTGGTTCCCTATTTACCTGCAGATTAGTAGCAACTACCCTTAATAAGTAGGTATAGCCCATAAAACTGTAAGTAACGAGGGTCCCAGGTAGTGCTTAGACTTCAGGGTTTGGGGACATTGGGTTTAGAGTCTGGGTTTTCAGAGTGTAGGGCTTAGAGTCTGAGAATCAGAGTTTAGGATTTCAGGGGTTCAGTCGCCAATATTATTCGGTTTCGGCCCGACACCGTGTCGAAGCCTAGGGGTACGCCAGACTACTGCGAATTGCTTAAGAACCCACCCAAAAAACAAAAAAAAACATATTCTTCCTCATAAGGGTAAAATAGGGATTATTGTACTTTATTCTTTTGGAGTTCTTCAACAAATGGGTGGTTGTCAAAAGTCTGGTCCCTTTTTGGACTCCTATTATAATAAGGCACCTAATATTTAAGGGCACCCCAAAAGGGATCATAATTTTGACAGCCACCCAAATAGTAGATCAGGGCGTATAATTTGTAAGTTTTAAGTCATAATATCTTCAATCCTGGGGGCCTTTTTTTCGTCAGCAAGAAGGTAGCAAGAGGTTTAGGCTGCATGGTGTCCCCAAGCCGTAAACCTTAAACCCTAAACCCTAAACCCTAGGCTCTAAACCCTAAATCCAAAACCCTAAAATCCTAAAGAGGTTAAGGGCTTCCTAGGGTCACAGGGCTTGCGCGGAGTATCGTGATTGTGCCTTAGATGTTCAGAGGCGAGCAATGAACACCAAGCTCAAGGTACACTTTGAAATGCTGCACATGGGTTTTGGGTTTAGGGATTCATTATGGTTTAGGGTTTTGGGTTTTGGGTTTTGGGTTTAGGGTTTTGGGTTTGGGTTTAGGGTTGTACGCGAAGTTCGAGCGGAGTGATCGGGCGTTTCTTTTCTGTCAGCCTTCTTCCATTGGCCGGATACAGACTTTGCACGGACGACGTGTGGGCTTTTGACATTGAGGGTTTCTTCCACAAGAGGAAGTGTCACAACCTCGTCAGCCATTTGCGTCACTAAGGCATGGAAGCTGATCTAACAAAAAGCGCCCTTCTTCTTCTACCAGCGGAGGAGTAGGGCTCATCTTGTGGCTGGGTTTGTCGAGACTTTGCAGCGAAGGCGAGGATTCCACTTTATGAGCCTCTTCGAATTAGCTAGGAAGGAAGAATGCACACAAAACCCAAAACCCAAAACCCAAAACCCTAAACCCAAAACCCTAAACCCTAAGCCCTAAACCCTAAACCCTCGTAGGTTTGGGGGCCTAGAGTTTAGGTTTTCTAGGGGCTCTTGGGCACTTGGAGAACGCAAGCGGACTGCTAGGGTTTTGCTTTTAGGCATCATCGTCCACACGCAGTTCATCCCAGTATGAAATCATGACATGCTGCCGCCCACAGAGATAAGAAAAAGTCGGCTGGGTGCAGTCGGGCTTGAGTCCATTCACCCTGAGCCCTAAACCCTAAACCCTAAACCCTAAACCCTAAACCCTAAACCCTAAACCCTAAACCCTAAACCCTAAATCCCAAGGGAGCCAAGGGTGCAATCAGTATGCTTAGGGGCTTGGGGTGATCAGCTTTAGGGTTCGGGCGCTTGGGGCTTGGGGCTTTGGGGCTTTGGGGCTTTGGGGCTTTGGGGCTTTGGGTTTTGGGTTTTGGGTTTTGGGTTTACTTAGGGTTTAGGGTTTAGGGTTTCGGGTTTAGGGTTGAGGGTTGAGGGTGTAGGGTGTAGGGTGTAGGGTTTAGGGTTTAGGGTTTAGGGTTTAGGAGCCACTAACCCCTGTAGCTTCCAGCCTAAACCCCTACACGCTGAACCTTATCAACCCGAAAGACCCTAATCCCCTGCCCCCTACGTTAGTTCTTCCCTGAAGCTCGTAATGGTTATGATCCGCCGGCCAAACCTTTCACTTCCTAAACCTTGCATCCCTAACCCCTCACACAAGTCTCAGCCCCCAAAGCCCTCAAGCCCAACCCACCAACTGGAAAACCCAAATAGCACGAAGCCCTGAACCCTGAAGTCATTTATAGCTCTAAAGCCCTACGGCCCTGGAATCCTAAGATCCTAAAACCGTAAAACCCTAAAGCCCTACACCCATAAACTCTGATTCTCCATACCCTAAAACCCCAAGCGCTAAAACACTAAACCGCCAAACGCCGAAAACCTGAAACCCCCCAACTCCAAAAAACTCCCAAAAACCCCAAAACCCCCGAAACCTTAAAACCTAAAACCCTTAAACCCTGCACCCTAAACCCGAAACCCGAAACCCGAAACCCGAAACCCGAAACCCGAAACCCTAAACCCTAAACCCTAAACCCTAAACCCTAAACCCTAAACCCTAAACCCTAAACCCTAAACCCTAAACCCTAAACCCTAAACGCCCAAGCCGTCCCCAACAGCCATCTGGCCCCGATCGCGGGTGTTTGGGGCATGGCCCCCGTACAGGACGACTGGGACGGAAGTGGGTTTAGGTTTTAGGGTTTAGGGTTTAGGGTTAACAAAAGATATCTTAGACACCGAAAACCTGAATCCATAAGGAAACCCCAAATTCTCTACCCCCCAGACCCTACACCTAAACCATACGACCCCTAGAGTCTACATCCTACACTCACCCTTCGGGTTTAGCGTCGTTTAGGGTGAGAAGTAGCAAGCAGCTAAGCCCTAAGCCCAAACCCTTCTTTCTTTTTCGAAACCCTAAACCCTGAAGCCCTGAACCCTGAACCCTGAACCCTCAACCCTGAACCCTATAAACCCTGACCCTTGGGATGTTCACCCTTATACTAACAGTCCTTAATAGGGATTAGGTACTGAAATCCCATTAAGGACTGTTAGTATTAGGGTGATCATCCCAACCTGAACCCGATTAACCCAAGAAACCCTGGAGCCTAAACCCAAGCGGCTTCGGGTCAAAGCCCTTCAGGCCTTTCGCAGTGTCTTCTGGCCCTGAACCCCAAACACCAAACGCAAAACCCGAAGGATTAGAGTCTAGGGGTCGTATGGTTTAGGTGTAGGGTCTGGGGGGTAGAGAGTTTGGGGTTTCCTTATGGATTCAGGTTTTCGGGGTCTCAGATTTCTTTTGTTAACCCTAAACCCCAAACCCTAAACCCTAAACCCTAAACCCTATACCCTATACCCTATACCCTCAACCCTAAACCCTAAACCCTAAACCCTAAACCCTAAACCAGGTTATTTCGGGGCTCCATGGAACCCTGACTGAGCCCCAAGAGCCCGCACAACTCGAAACCTCAGAAAGAAGCTTCAACCCCCACCCAGCCCTCTCACACAGGGGTTTAGGGTTTAGGGTTAGGGTTTAGGGTTTAAGGTTTAGGGTTTAGGGTTTAGGGTTTAGGGTTTAGGGTTTAGGGTTTAGGGTTTAGGGTTTAGGGTTTAGGGTTTAGGGTCTAGGGTCTAGGGTTTAGGGTTTAGGGTTTAGGGTTTAGGGTTTAGGGTTTAGGGTTTAGGGTCTCGGAGGTGCGGCCGAGTCATGCCGAAGAAGAAAGCCGGGGCCACAAGTTCATGACCCTTATGCAGCGCTTGGGGAGTTCGGGTGCCGGGCTTGCGGGCTTCATGAGCCACTTCAGTATAAACCGTGTATATAAGCCCCATCAGCTCTCACCCCTATGCCCTAAACCCTAAACCCTAAACCCTAAACCCTAAACCCTAAACCCTAAACCCTAAACCCTAAACCCTAAACCCTAAACCCTATAAGCCCTAACCTCTCTACACCTTCAATCCTAAGCCCTTCATAAACCACAAACCCTCGACCCTGCACCCTGACCCGGGACTTCCCACCCTTTGTTTCGGCGGTTGCGCATGTTCGTATGGGGAAGTGGACGCCTCTTCCCCCCAACACTCAGACCGTATGCCTCCATGGACTCTTGTTTCTGAATTGCCCTATGGCCGAAAGGCCATGCTATGTAAGGTTTCGTTTGGGAATGTTCCCTAAACCCGGACAGCTAGAAGAATTGTTGCGAAGGCAACCAACCCGGAGCTGCGCGCCCAGTACTAGGGGTAGAGACTGAATATCCTCGGGCATGCAGTTACTATACAGTGGCTCCAGGCCCACGCCTAATTAATGCAAAATGGACCCCCACGTACTTAGTCTGTAACATTATCTTTTTTGGGCCCGGGGCCCCCGAAGATAGTTTCGACGGCCATTCATTTGACTGGCTTGGTTTCCAAAGCCTCTGAAGAAACGAAGAAAACACGGCACCTGACCTGAAGCCATTCATATCCAGCCAAGAAAGAGTGGGGAGAGCAGACTGAGAGCAGACTGAGAGCAGGGAGAGTGCAGGGAGAGTGCAGGGAGAGTGTAGGGGGAGTGAAGAAAGTGACCACCTTGGATTCAACACTGATTTCATCCTTTCTCTTGTGGTTAGGCCCCCCCCCCCCTTCGATTTGCATTTTTTCGGGTGGTTCCGGGGACCCGGAAATGTAAAATCGAGGCCCCCCCATGCAAAACACGTGGGGCGTCGGGGTGTGGCTCCTACATGAAACTTAGAATTTACACTTCACATGCCTAACCCGAAGAGCCAGAGATACCAAAGCATTCACCCCCCGTGCGCCATCCCCTTGCTCAGGCTGGCGTCTCCCTGCCGCCCATGACCTCCATGTCACCCCGGCGTGGCGTGGAGGCACATCCACGTAATTGGCCCCTTAAGGGTCCAGATACGCCCTCAAAGAGAATAGATGGGTCCCGGAGTTGCTCCATCATCTGTCCTGGCTTTACGTGTCCTTTATATAGGGCGTTCATCGACATGCTTGGGGGTGAGTCGGGCTTTGGATGCGTGCGTCCTGTCTGGCTAAGAGGTTCAGGGTTTAGGGTTTAGGGTTGAGGGTTTAGGGTTTAGGGTTTGGGGCACTTCATGGTTCAAGCCTGCCCCCGAAGCCCGAAAGACGATCTCGAGCATGAGCGCCCCTGCACAATCACAAGTTCGGGTTGGTAAGCAGTATGCTTTGAACACAAGTAGAACCCTAAACTACTCAACCCGTGAACGCCCTGAACGTGCTGTTGGGCCGGAGCCCTGAACCCCAAACCCTAAACCTTCAACCCTAAACCCTAAACATTCCGAAAGCCCAACGAAAGTAGACGTAATGTTGACCATCGCCCGCCGTATGTCTCAAAAGTGATGTTGGCAGAAACAACTCTCCTAGAAACCATGAGCCTTTGATATTGATACAAGCAGTGGAGCCACATATTCCGCTCTTCTTTCTCACGGGTTAGTTCTCCAAGTTCTGGACTTGTTTTTGGGATACCCGTCCCAACAAATACAACATCAACTCATCGACCAACTAGCGGCTGCTTCCTTCCCCTTTGTTGTAAGTACTTCCTCGGAGGGTTTAGGGTTTAGGGTTTAGTGTTTAGGTTTTAGGGCTTAGGCTTGAAAACCCTGAGCCCGTTTACTGTGCCTGGTACAGGGGTTCCAGCTACAGAAATCCCACAGCGTAAAGGTTTCCCCTGTACCTCTTGAGAACTACCCAAGTCAGTAGGTTCGAGGGTTGAGGGCTTGCAGCCGCGCAGCGGCAGGAATGACCATGTGGAAATGGCGCCCCAGTTCAATCAGGAGGTTCTAGTTTTTGTGTCGGGTTGCGGGCTTAAGCTCGAAAGCCCCACCCGGCCTCCAAAGCCGGCCGAGGAACCTTTCGGGGGGGAATGCACCAGCCCCTGCACCTGGCGTGCCGAGCACGCTGCAAGAACTGCTCTCTAGAAGCTTGCACATCACCTCCAGGCCACGGTGTGAATGGCTGGCAAGGGCAGTCTTGGGGTGATGGTGGCGGAGGGTGCGCGGCACATGGTGCGCGGCACGTGGGTCGATGATAACAAGGCCGAAGAATCCAGAAAATCCATCTTTGAATTTTGAATTTTATCCACGCAGGCCATAAGGGCCTGAACCAGCCAACAGGCCCACACAACTACTTTTTGCTTAAGAAGCCCCCCCCAAAGAAAAATGAAGATCCCTATACTGCCCTTATAAGGAGGATTGTTGTTGATTTTTTGGGGGGTTCATAAGCAATTCGTAGGCAAAGGGCCTCCAGGGGGCCTTTTTCAGGGGGTCTCCAACAAGCCGGCTAATTCTTAGGTTTAGGGTTTAGGGTTTAGGGTTTAGGGTTTAGGGTTTAGGGTTTAGGGTTTAGGGTTAGGGTTTAGGGTTTAGGGGTTAGGGGTTAGGGTTTAGGGTCTAGGATTTAGGGTTTAGGGTTTAGGGTTTAGGTTTACTGTTTATTGTTTTGGGTTTAGGGTTTAGGGCCTGAGAAGCCTCTTGGCAAGGCTGCGGAGGCGGCGATGCCAACTACTTCGGCGAGGCTTGGGGCTTTCAGGGGTTTCGGGTTCAGGGTTTAGGGTTTAGGGTTTAGGGTTTAGGATTTAGGGTTTAGGGTTTAGGGTTTAGGGATGGAGTGTGAGCTACATTGGGCTTATACTAGTTGATGAGCTGGGCCCATACTGGTTGATGAGCTGGCAGAAGGAGCCACCTTGCTCCCTATGTTACTCAGGGGTGTAGGGTTTAGGGTTTAGGGTTTAGGGTTTTCAGGTCCAGGGTTTCAAGCTGACGCCTTCATGTAGGGAGAGAGGTGCTGAGGTCTGGGGGTTGGGACTACCTTTCCTCAAACTGCTGTGGCCTGACAATAGCTTCCACGCAGCCCTCTTACCTCAAGAAAATCTTACGTAAATTAGGGGTACCTTATTGGGGTCCTATTTGGGGGGTCTATATTCGGGGTCCCTTATTTTCGCAACCGCCCAAAAAAAGGCAAGGTATGTCAGAGGGAAGTATACGGCAAGTAAGGCTGTACAAGGCTGAGGGCCTCAGGCATGCTCTCGGTGGCCCGAGGAATCCGTTCGAGCACGACGTGTCGGCGGATCTCTTTTCCTACAAGGCACCCTAACCCTAAACCCTAAACCCCAAACCCTAAAAGAAGCCCTGTAAGCCCAAGAAGCCCAAACCCCGCAACCTTAGAAGAGTTTGAGGGTCCCAGTCTTCACATGACCCACACCTTGCCAACTGACCGCTTCATGACCGGGTTCGCAGTCGCCCCAGGCAGGTGCTAGAATCATGTGGGATGCTGGGCTTGGGTTTCGGGTTTAGGGTTTAGGGTTTAGGGTTTAGGGTTTAGGGTTTAGGGTTTAGGGTTTAGGGTTTCCCTGGGTTTTGGGCCTCTCAAGGTCCAGACGGCCTCTAAGGCTTCCAGATCTTCTGGGGTCTCCGTGGTTCCCTGGGAAGTTTCCAAGCGTCGCTTCCCCAATCTCCGAAGATCTGAAGATGCTTCATGCTCCTAAGCCACCCTAAGCCCTAAGCCCTAAGCCCTAAGCCCTAAGCCCTAAGCCCTAAACCCCAAACCCTAAACCCTAAACCCTCTCCGGCGCCCTACCCCTGTTGATAGCAGGACTGACGTGACCCCCAGATTTCCCATTCCAGCGGCTGGTCAACCCCATCTTAGGGTTTGGAGTTTTAGGGTTTAGGGTTTAGATCGAAAGTCTCGCAACGGGATCAACCATCCTAGGCTGCACGTCTTGCGTTGAAGTCATGTACTGCCCTCCGCCGCAAAAGAAAACCTTGATCAACATCCCTTGGCCCGTCACCCTAAACCCTAAACCCTAAACCCTAAACTCGAAACCCTAAACCCTAAACCCTAAACCCTAAACCCTAAACCCTAAAACCCTAAACCCTAAACCCTAAACCCTAAACCCTAAACCCACTGGAAGGACGATTGGTCCATCCAAGCGCCGGAGGAGATCATCCAGGAAGCGAAGCGAAGCGTGCAAGGTTCCTCGGGTAAAGAGAAGCATCATGAAGGATCCACCTACCAAACAAACCCTAAACCCTAAACCCTAAACCCTAAACCCTAAACCCTAAACGCTAAACCCTAAACCCTAAACCCTAAACCCTAAACCCTAAACCCTAAACCCCTAAACCCTAAACCCCAAATCATGAAGGCTAGGCAGCCCAGTGGTACCCTTTACCCTTTTTTTTTGCTCCGGGTTCCCTCATCAAGTAACCACAACCAAAAAAGGGCCATCTACCAAATCCTAAATCCTAGAGCCCCCAGAAGCCCAAAGAAACCCTAAATCCCCTGGCAAGTAGCCCCTGATGAGAATCCTGAACGGCGAGGGCATGTTGGGCATCGGAGAGAGCACTTCTCGGGTCAAAGCGCTGTAATATAGGGGTCGGAATAATTACTAGTAACATTCCCTTATGGTCCCTTTATATTAACACTAGAATAACCCCCAAAACCCTATTCTAACTCTTCAGGCTATTATAGCAACAGGGTTCAGGCTATTATAGCAACAGGGTTTAGGGCTTAGGATCAGGCCAGGCCTCACACCTACGCAACAGCTTGAATCCTAAGCCCTATGCCTTTACGAAGTCAAGCCCCTCAAGCCCCTTGAGCCTACACTCCTTGTGCCCGTAGGGTTTAGGGTTTAGGGTTTAGGGTTTAGGGCTGAGGGTTGAGGGTTGAGGGTTGAGGGTTGCCCTCACACCCCCAAACCTCGACCCCCAAGCCCCAAACACCTAGACCCTAAACCCTATGCCCCTTTATCTCTAGACCCCATGAAGCCTCAAAACCCAAACCCCTAAGCCCTTGCGACCTCAACCCTCACACCTCAACCCTCAACCCTAAACCCTAAACCAACCCTAAACCCTAAACCCTAAACCCTAAACCCTAAACCCTAAACCCTAAACCCTAAACCCTAAACCCTAAACCCTAAACCCTAAACCCCAATCAACCCTAAAGCCCTTAGGCCGTAGACCCGGCCGAGCTGACGACGTCGATGCTCTTCTCAAGACAAAGCCTTGGGGAAAAGAGGACCCCGAGTGAAGTTTAGGGTTTAGGGTTTAGGGTTTAGGGTTTAAGGTTTAGGGTTTAGGGTTTAGGGTTTGAGGGGCTTAGGGCTTGAGGGTCTTCAGTGGGTTTCTGCATTTTTGTACTGTTTTGGGGGTCCGTCTTTAGGGGTTTGGAGGTTTGGGACTCCCGGCTTCCGGGTTTCAGGATTCTATTGGGCGTTAGGCTTTTCGGGCGGTTTAGGGTTTAGGGTTTAGGGTTTAGGGTTTAGGGTTTAGGGGTTGACTGCTGACGACTTGTAGGGTTTACCAGAGCCTAGGGTTGAGGGTTGTTTGAGGGTCTAGGGCTCTTGGGGCTTTAGGCTTTAGGGTCTAGGGCGGCTTCTAGGGGGCTTTAGGGTCGAGGGCGGCTTCCAGGGGGCTTTGAGCCGCTTCGAGCTTCAGGGTTTCCTTGGTCTCTTTAAACCCCTTGAACCCTAGTCCCAAAAACCCGAAACCCTAAATCCTAAACCCTAAACCCCGAACCCCACACCGAACACAACAGTGGCAACTTCAGGGGCGCAGATCGGTGTTCGAGGTTTGACTTTCTGCATAGCCAGGGCCCCCAACTCGGAACGGGAGTGGGCCCTTATTTCCTTCTTTTAGGGTTGGGGTTCCCTTACAGTCCCCTTCAAACTAAAAAGGGTATCCTTTTTTTGCTTTTCTAGGTTACTGATGTGTCAAGTGAAGGATGTAGGGCTTTGGCGGCCCTTTCTCGGTTAGGGCGTTTTGGCTTCTATGGGGGGGTCGGGTTTAGAGGTCTTGGATCTATGATTTTTGAGACGCAGGGGGTAGGGATTCTGGGGTGCACGGGTTCAGACATCAGTTCCCCTTTGAAAGCCCCATCCCAGGTTGCTAGAAACGAGCCCAGTCTGAAAATGCTCCTGTAGCGTTTCGGGTTTAAGGTTTAGGGCTTAGGGCTTAGGGCTTGGGGTTTAGGTTCTGTGAGGCTGGGATTCTGATTCTTCTGGCCAGAATCCTCAGGGCCGAAAAACCCTGCCTCCCAACCCCCAAGCTGCAGCGCTTTGGGTTTTCCGTTGCAGAATCCCTAAACCCTAAACTCTAAACCCTAAACCCTAAACCCTAAACCCTAAACCTTAAACCCCACACCGAACACAAAAAGCAGGATCCATCAGAAAAAGGCTACCACATCATCTTACCGGACAACCGGGTGGTGTCGGTGGGGCGCCTCAGTCGATTCTCTGGCTCTGCGACATTCCGAGGTTCGGTGTTGAGTGGTATACCAAACCCTAAACCTGAAACCGTAGGGTTTAGGGTTTAGGGTTTAGGGTTTCGGGTTTGTGGTTCTAGCCCTGAACCATAGTCCCGAAGCGCCAACCCTAGACTCCCTGAGCAGCCACATGTCTTTATTATGGGGAGTCGGGAAGTACCCCAAGACTCTTTTCCGGTCAGCGCATCCCAAGAAGCGCACCTAAACCCTAAACCCCAAACCCCAGACCCTAAACCGTAAACCCTAAACCCTAAACCCGAAACCCTAAACCCTAAACCCTAACACCTGAACCCTAAACCCTTAGCCCCCTTAGCCCTTCCAGTAGGTGGAGAACCAGCTCAACCGCCGATTGCGCGAAGAGCTTCTGGGACCCGAGCTGCCCTCAGCTGCCTCAGATTTTGCCTGGCAGGTTACCCTAAACCCTAAACCCTAAACCCTAAACCCTGAACCCTGAACCCTGAACCCTGACCCCTGAACCCTGAACCCTACACCCTAAACCCTAAACCCTGAACCCTGAACCCTGAACCCTAAACCCTAGCCTGCAAGAGTGGTAAATCTGAGCACAAGGTTGAAGGCTTTTCGTTGCTTGATCCTGGTAGGCTGAAGAGGTGAGTCTTTGAACAGCGTGTTTCGGGTCTAGGGTTTAGGGGTTTAGGGGTTTAGGGGTTTAGGGGTTTAGGGGTTTAGGGTTTAGGGGTTTAGGGGTTTAGGGGTTTAGGGGTTTAGGGGTTTAGGGGTTTAGGGGTTTAGGGTTGAGGGTTTAGGGTTTTGGGTTTTTGGGTGGAGGGAAGCAAAGACAAGAAGAAAGGGGATGTGGAGATGGACAACTACAACACCTCAATGTCAAGCAGTTGCTCAGGTCTGTTCATGTGTGTGAGAGCAATTATGGCCCCCTGAATCTGAGCAGAGGAAACCTTCGAAGAGATTTGACAGCCATTCCCGGTGTCGGCGCAGAAACTTCACTCCGTAAGCTCGCCAGGCTCGCCTAGCACATAGGTTAGAAACCCTAACCCTAAACCCTAAACCCTAAACCCTAAACCCTAAACCCTAAACCCTAAACCCTAAACCCTACACCCTAAGAGGATCCCAAAGGTGACGGAGGACGGTATCACGCAGGTTCTTGGAGGGCTGGGGGTTGATCTGAGTCATGGGCGATTGCTCTTTTCGGTGAGAGTACCCTCCTTCTAAGTTGCAGGTAGCCAAGGGCCCACGGCACGCATCAACCTCAGTATGTTGGGATGTTCCCCTCCCCCCCCCCCCCACACTAATATGACTGTCCTGAATAGGGATTAGAATGGGAGGTACTGTAATCCCTATGAAGGAGCTGTTAGTGTTATGAGGGGAAACATCCCAAACAGTATGAGTGGTTCAGTCTTTCTGTGGGGGGAAAGAGCAAGATGGACCCTAAGCCTTTCCCTCAGCAAGGAACTCCCTAAACCTCCCTAAGCTCCGTAAACTCCCTAAACTCCTAAACTCCCTAAACCCAAAAACTCCCTAATCCAAGCCCCAGCACTGTTTGATCAGTGCTCTGACGATCCGAGATCCGGTGAAGGCTTGCCCACGTGGGGTGGGCACGGATCCCGGCGTGCGTGACTACATCGCGCTGGAGGAGGGAGCACGCGACGTGGCGAACAACATTCAAGTCAGAGCGCGGAGAAAAAATCGCGCGGTTGGATGCCAACAGCCCTAAACCCTAAACCCTAAACCCTAAACCCTAAACCCTAAACCCTAAACCCTAAACCCTAAACCCTAAACCCTAAAGGGGAGGGCCACGGAAGGATCGGAGTTGGCTGCAGCTCTGGTCGTCACAGATCCGTGGCGACTGTGGAAGTTGCTGCGGCCGAACTGCGTCGGCCACTCATCCTGCAGTCGTTGCATGAAGAACCGGAAGCCCGAAACCCTAAACCCTTAACCCTAAACCCTAACCCTAAACCCTAAACCCTAAACCCTAAACCCTAAACCCTAAACTGCAGGCCAGTTCCTCATATCTCCCCTGGCCCTTCCCAGGCAGCGCCCGAGCCTCGCTCCCACGAGGCGAAGGACAAGATGAAGGCTGCGGCTTCAGGGGGCCTTTAAGGGGTTTAGGGTTTAGGGTTTTTGGAGTTTTTGGGTTTTTTGGGTTTTTGGGTTTTTGGGGTTTTTGAGGTTTTGGGTTTTTGGGTTTTGGGGTTTTTGGAGTTTTGGGGGTTTTTGGGTTTTTGGGTTTTTTTGGGGCTTTTTGGGGGGTTTTTGGGTTTTTGGGTTTTTCTGTTTTTGGGTTTTTGGGTTTTTGGGTTTTTGGGTTTTTGGGTTTTTGGGTTTTTGGGTTTTTGGGTTTTTGGGTTTTGGGTTTTTGGGTTTTTGGGTTTTTGGGTTTTTGGGTTTTTGGTTTTTGGGTTTTTGGGTTTTTGGGTTTTTGGGTTTTTGGGTTTTTGGGTTTTTGGGTTTTTGGGTTTTTGGGTTTTTGGGTTTTTGGGTTTTTGGGTTTTTGGGTTTTTGGGTTTTTGGGTTTTTGGGTTTTTGGGTTTTTGGGTTTTTGGGTTTTTGGGTTTTTGGGTTTTTGGGTTTTTGGGTTTTTGGGTTTTTGGGTTTTTGGGTTTTTGGGCGGTTTAGGGCTTTCAGGGGGGCGTTTAAGGGGTTTCTGGGCTTTAGGGGCTTCTAGGGGCTTTCGGGGTTTTAGGGGATTTAGGGGCTGAGGGCTTCAGGGGCTTTCAAGGGTTTAGGGGCCTTGGGAGCTTCTAGGGGTTTAAGGGGTTTTAGGGTCTTCTACGGGTCTTCTACGGGTTTAGGGGCTTCTGGGCTTTAGGGGCTTTAGGGTTTCGGGTTTACGGGCGTGAGGTGTTTTAGGGGGTTTAGGGGCTTTTAGGGTTTTGGGGGATTAGGGGCTTTATGGGCTTCAGAGGCGTTTTAGGCGCTTTGGGGGCTTCTAGTGGTTTTAAGGCTCTAGGGTCGGGGCTTCCAAGGGGGGGCTTAAGAGGTTTAGGGGCGTTTTGGGGGCTGCATTTTAGGGGCTTTGAGGGCTTTAGTAGTGCATTAGGGGTTTAAGGGCTTTAGGGACTTCAGGGGCTATAGGGGCTGTAGGGGTTTTAGGGGTTTCTTGGGGGCTTTATGGGGCATGAGGGGTTTTAGGGGCTTAAGGGGCTCTTTTGGCTTTGGGGGCTTGAGGGGTTTTAGGGGTTTATGGGCTTTAGGGGTTCTACGGGTTTAGGAGTTTTAAGTATTTAGGGGTTGCGTGTTAATGTAAATCAGTAATTTGGGGTTTAGAGATTTGAGGGAAGCCTGCTGTTTCTTTTCCAGCCACTGCACAGGAGGAGGACAACGACGATGGGCAGCAGGGGAGCACCAGGAGAAAGGCGCCTGGGCCAGGGGGGCGTTAAGGATCGCTTTCTAGGGCAATGGGTCGTTTTGTTTTGTGTGGCTCCCTTCTAGGTCCCCTTATCAACCCTATATTGGAGGGATGGACGTTTTTCTGGGTACCAGCTTGGATCCCCTTCAAACTTTCGTTTTCTTTGTGAAGCCTTTCTTTGTCTGGAGGGGCGTGGGTGGGGTTCTTTTTCCGCAGGAGCACCCCCCCCCCCAAGCCCCCCAAGCAGAAGGAGCCGATAAGTGCGGACCCTTGCTTTCGCCGCCCAGCTCAGGGCTTGAAAGACTAGGGTTTAGGGTTGAGGGTTTAGGGTTTAGGGTTTAGATTTGATGGTTTAGGGTTTAGAGTTTAGGGTTTAGGGACGGCTTGACGTTAGATGGATCCCTACAGTCCCCTGACTGAGGAAACCCCCCAAACTCAAAGAACCCGGGACCTTAGCTCGACCTTCCTCAAGCATCCATAAACCCTAAGCCCTAAATCCTCGACCCTGAACCCTGAACCCTAAACCCTAAACCCTAAACCCTAAACAGTAAACCCTAAACCCTAAACCCTAAACCCTAAACCCTAAACCCTAAACCCTAAACCCTACACCTCAAGCAGGCCAGTGAGGCGCTTGCATCGATCATGCAGAGGATCGGCGTCCTCACGGCCAAGGCTCCTGACTGAGAGCTTAAGGGTTTAGGGTTTAAGGGTTTAGGGTTTTGGGTTTAGGGGTTTAGGGGTTTAGGGGTTTAGGGGTTTAGGGGTTTAGGGGTTTAGGGGTTTAGGGGTTTAGGGTTTACGGTTTAGGGTTTAGGGTTTAGGGTTTAGGGCATTAGGGCTTTAGGGCTTCAGGGATTCAGGGTTTCAGGGTTTTGGGACTTAAGGTCAAGGGCGCCAATTGGCCTGGGAATTCGGGGCCACAGGGCTGGTATAGGGCATTAGGTCATTAGGGCATTAGGGCATTAGGGTTTAGGGTTTAGGGTTTAGAGTTTAGGGGGCTGATATAAATGGGGCTTATGGGCTGTAGGCTAAACGGGTAGGCCCAGGAGTTGGGAAGGTTGCTTCTCGGCTTCACGTTGGATGTTTCCCCCGGAACAGAAAGTGGACGCATAGCCACCCTGAGGTTTAGGGCTTCGGGTTTAGGGTTCAGGGCGTCGGGGGGTTTAGGGTTTAGGGTTTAGGGATTAGGGTTTAGTGTTTAGGGTTTAGTGTTCAGGGTTTAGGGTTCAGGGTTTAGGGTTCAGGGTTCAGGGTTTCGGGTTTAGGGCTAAGGTAGGCCCCACACCCTCGGTGCAGTTCCGGGAGACACGGCGGAGCCCTCTAGCGGAGGCGTGCCCGACATAGGCGCTTGCTGAAGATGGGCCCAGCAACTCCGGTGAGAGCTGCAGAAGAAGCGAGTGCTGAGCTTGCTCAAGGATTTTGTTCAGGGTTCTAGGGTCTTAGGGCCTTAGGGCTTAGTCGCGCAGACCGGCCCTACCAGTAGCAAAGTTGCGCTGCGAACAGGATGGAGGAGAGAACCAACTATGTAAGTACACCTCCTGAGGCATAAAAACCTCAACTTCCTGGACCGTCGGACGTTGAACGCGGTTTCCTAAGCCCTCAGCCTCAAACCCTATAGCTTATAGCTGTACTTATGATGAATACCCTAAACCCTAAACCCTAAACCCTAAACCCTAAACCCTAAACCCTAAACCCTAAACCCTAAACCCTAAACCCTAAACCCTAAACCCTAAACCCTAAACCCTAAACCCTAAACCCTAAGCCCTAACCCTAAAGCCCTAAGCCCTAACCCTAAACCCTAAGCCCTAAGCCCCCTAAACCCTAAACCCTAAACCCTAAACCCTAAACCCTAAACCCTAAACCCTAAACCCTAAACCCTAAACCCTAAACCATAAACCCTAAACCCTAAACCCTAAACCCTAAACCCTAAACCCTAAACCCTAAACCCTAAACCCTAAACCCTAAACCCTAAACCCTAAACCCTACCCTCCCCGGGTGCTTTGCCATGGCTCAGGAGGAGTTCTTGGAGCCCCCAAAGCCTGGGAAGAAGGACAAAAGGGATGCAGGGATTCACGGGCGGTTTAGGGTTTAGGGTTTAGGGTTTAGGGTTTAAGGTTTAGGGTTAGGACTTAGGGTTTAGGGTTCAGGGTTTGGGGACGGACTGCTGCGAAAGCATTTGCCAAGGATATTTTCATTGATCAAGCAGTGAGGGTTCAAGAAAGCCTCTCTTCTCGATGGTCGCTGGTTATTTCTTTTTTCTTGGTTCCTACAACTTACAAAATCTGCAGGTTAACTGCCTAAATTTGTTTGTCGACGCCAGTACTACGTGGACACGAGTTGCTGCTAGTATAAATAAAGCACGGAAAGCGATAGGGGCGCCACCTAAAGCAATTGCATTCGGGCTTGCCATTTTAGATGCATTCATCCGGCGCTGGACAAGCTCTCCTTCTGCCTTTTCCCAAGATCGTTCTTCTCATCACGCCGTGCTGATCTTCAAGTCGATGCCATAGATATGCGCACACAGGGTTGTCTGAATGTTGGTCGGGGCCCAGAAGCTGCGCATGCTGTGTGATCTACAAGTTATTGCAAAGGGAATTCACCAGGTAAACTCACCACGAACACGAAAACAGCTACTTGCTTCTGTGTTTAGGCGTTTTGTCCAGCACTACTGTAGTGGACACTTGCAGAATTTGTAGATAGCGTTTCGTTTTCACGTGTACATAGACATGTACAGGCACATGGTTTTTTCAGCAATACAGCTACACATGACATGCATATACAGCAATTCATACATCGTGTATCGGTTGCTGCTCACCTCCAGAAGTGAGTAAGTCGACCAGCTATTTTCAGACGGGAAAAAGCTCAACTACATGCTACTTTTGGCTCAGTTGTACTATCACACACATTCAATTCTTACACGCGCGCGCGCGCGCGCGCGCGCACGCACGCACAGACACGCACCCACACTGATTCACTTTTGATAGCAGTGGGGTGCATACTTCGAGGTCTTGCTTATTTCCAGAACAAGGGGAACACCGCATGTGAGAGAGAGAGAGAGCAGGGTTAGGGTTTATAGGGTTTAGGGTTTAGGGTTTAGGGGTTTAGGCTAGGGGTTTGGGCAGCGTTTCCAACGGAGTGGGTCATTTTGGACCGTCTGGTGGCCGTTTAGGGGGGGGGGGGGGGCGGGGGGGGGGGACCCCGGGGCGGGGGGGGGGGCGGGGGCGGGGGCCGGGGGGGGGGGCGGGAGGGGGGCCTGGGCGGGGGGGGGGCGGGGCGGGCCGAAAAAGGGGCGGGGGGGGGTGGCCGGGGGGCGGGGGGGGGGGCCTTGGGAAAGCAAAAGCCAATTAGCCGCACCAAAACAACTGAAGGAGGTACATCTCCATGAAAAGCCCAAACCGCTCCAAACAGTATTGTTTGGAGTGTTTCAATGTTTCAATGAGGGATGCTTGAATTTCAGGCAGACGGGGGTGAGGATTCAGGGTTTACAATTGTGGCCCTAAACCCTGAACCCTCACCCTAAACCCTACATCTGAAACTCTAAACCCTAAACCCTGAACCCTGAACCCTGAACCCTAAACCCTAAACCCTAAATCCTAAACCCTAAACCCTGAACCCTAAACCCTAAACCCTAAACCCTAAACCCTAAACCCTAAACCCTAAACCCTAAACCTTTTGGGTTCGCCTGAGAAGGAGAAGGCAGCCGATCAAAGCAAGGGCAAAGGAAAGGGACGACGGAGAGTGAAGTCCTCAGTAAAGGCTTGCAGGATTCTGGGTTTAGCGTTTAGGGTTGAGGGTTCTATGAGTTTAGGGCGCTGAGGGTCTACAGGATGTAGAGCTTAGGGTTTTATGGTGTTTTTAGGACCTCAATGCTAGGTTCCCTCTCTAGCATCCTCCCGAAGTACGGTAGGTTGGATGCTGATTCTTCTGCAACAGTACCCAGGAGCAAGCCCTTGAAGCCCTAAACCCTAAACCCTAAACCCGAAACCCGAAACCCTAAACCCTCTACCCTAAACCCCAAACCCTAAACCCTAAACCCTAAACCCTAAACCCTAAACCCTAAACCCTAAACCCTACAGCGCAGCATGGGCCCAAATCGAATAGTTGACCTCCAAGATGTTGGGTATCGGCGATTGGGGATCACGGGTCCCCCCCTGAACCCTGAGCCCTGAGCCCAAACCCTAAACTCTAAACCCTAAACCCTAAACCCCAAGCCCTAAACCCGACTCCTCATGATCCCTAAGCCCGAATCGCCTACCAAAACTGCCCCTTAAAGCCCCCGAGTTCGAAGGGAGCCCAGTCAAAAACGACCCCCAAACCCCAAAGCCTAAACCCCAAACCCCAAACCCCTAAACCCCAAACCCCAAACCCCTACCAAGTTCAACCACAGACCTTACGGTTCAGGCTTCAGGGCTGAGGGGGCAAGTTTCCCCCCAAAAAGTCAGCCGAGGACCCCACCACACCCCGTCCTCCCTCCCCACCCCCCCTGCCAGATAGCCCCCTAAACTCCCTTGTAAACCTAAACCCTAAACCCAATTTTAGAGTTGTTCAGAACCCAATTTTAGAGTTGTTCAGAAGCCCCTTGCGCTCGAGGGCGCCGGGTCGGAGACCGCGCGGGACCCTCGCCGCGATCGCCTTCGAAAGGCCCCGGCGGGTGGTGCATCCAGGAGGGGTCCAGGAGGGGGGAGGCCTTAAATCCCCAATCCCCGAATCAACCTAAGCCCCAAACCCTAAACTTGTCGGCTTAAGGTTCAGGATTTTGACATGCTGATGTCGGCTAGTTTCCAGCATCTAGCATACAGCCGCACCCTAGCCCTAAACCAAAAATCCGGATGACCCTTGAGATGGACATGGCTGAGCCGGGCATACAACTAGAATCCTTAGACCCTAGACCCATGATTCGAGACCCAGACCCCAAACACTAGACCCTAAACCCTAAACCCTAAACCCTAAACCCCAAACCCCAAACCCCAAACCCCAAACCCCAAACCCCAAACCCCAAACCCCAAACCCTCAACCCTACCTCCCGGCGCCAGGTTCGTAATCCGTGGTACCTTCCGCCCAACCATTGGTTCAGTGAAGAGCTGGGCAAGGACGTTCGGTTTAGGGTTGAGGGTTGAGGGTTTAGGGTTTAGGCTTTAGGCTTCAGGCTTTCTAAAGGCTTTAAGCTTTATAGAATTAAGGATTTAGGGTTTAGGGTACATATATACATATATACATATATACATATATACATATATACATATATACATATATACATATATACATATATACATATATACATATATACATATATACATATATACATATATACATATGTACAGATATATACATATATGCATATATATATATATACATATACATATGTCTGACAACGCAGAAATGCTGTCATTTACAGTATCTGAAGCCTCTGAAAACACAGAAATGCTGCTATTTTATGCCCTTCGTTGCAGCGTCTGAGAAACCCGGAAATGCTGCTATATACATTTTATGTCAGAATGCTGCTACGTACAGTATTTGCAGCCAACGCAATGCAGAACTTCTGCTATTTACAGTATTTGAAGCCTCTCTCTGACTACGTAGAAATGCTGCTATTTACAGTATTGGAAGCCGCTGACAACACAGAAATGCTGCTATTTACAGTCTTGGAAGCTTCTGACAACGCAGAAATGCTGCTATTTACAGTATTTACAGCCTCTGACAACGCAGAAATGCTGCTATTTATAGTATTGGTGCAGAATTTGCAGCCTCTTTCAACGCAGAAATGCTGCTATTTACAGTTTTTGCAGCCTCTGACAACGCAGAAATGCTGCTATTTACAGTATTTGCAACCTCTGACAACGCAGAAATGCTGCTATTTACAGTATTTGAAGCCTCTGACAACGCAGAAATGCTGCTATTTACAGTATTTGCAGCCTCTCTAAACGCAGAAATGCTGCTATTTACAGTATTTGCGAAGCCAAGCTGAGCCACACCTTTTAAAAAAAAGCGTCTGAGCCACACCTTAAAAAAACCGCCGAGCTTAGGGGTTTAGGGGTTGAGAGTTGAGAGTTTGGGTTACTCGGCTGCAACAGGACAGTTCGTGTTGCTTTTTGCCAGGACCCGAATGAGACGATTGGCCTCGGCTTTCCCTACGACGCAATGCCCCTCGGATGCCCTGCTTTGGGTTTCGGGTTGAGGGTTTGGGGTTGAGGGCTTAGGGCTTTGGGTTCAGGGTTTAGGGCTTAGGGTTTAGGGTTGGCTCTTAGGCTGTTGCAGGTCTTGGGTTCCTGTCGGGTTTTTTTGCTTCGGGCTTGGGAGGTTGCAAGGGCCCATTGGTTTTGGGTCAAAGAGCGTGGTCACCAAGTGACCACACGATGACATAGTAGTTAGTTCAAGAGCCAAGCATCCACGTGACTTCGAGAGAGGTTATTTTCCTACAACAGGGTCCTATAGCCAAGCAGGTCTCTTCAAGAAGCAATCAGAGAGAGAGGGAGAGGGAGAGAGAGTGAGAGATAGAGAGAGACAGAGAGAGGGAGACAGAGAGAGCGAGCAAGAAAAGTCCAACACAGACGGACCTCCTAGGCTGGATCCAAGCCCTTAACCCTCAGCCCAAATTGCAATGCGGGACTGGCATGTTCATAATCGGGCCTTCAGTCAGGGCTTTTTCGTGGGGTTTCCGGTTTCGGGTTTAGGGCTAGGGTTTAGGGTTTAGGGTTTAGGGTTTGTAGGGTTTGTAGGGTTTGTAGGGTTTGTAGGGTTTAGGGTTTAGGGTGTAGGGTGAAGGTTTGGGATTCAAGCTCCACCCGAGCTTGCTCTAAGGATCATGGGTGAGACGCCAGGCGTGAAGAAGGAGGAGGCGGAGCCGTACATGATTTCATTACGATTATCATGATTACTATTGCTAGTATTCTTATTCTCATTTTCATTCTTATTCTTATTCGTATTTTATTCTTATCTTATTCTTCTTTTTCTTATGCCTATGATTATTATTATTATCATGATCATAATCAATATTATTATTGTCATGACTAGTATTCTTCTTCTGATTATTACTGTAATAATTATGATGATTTGGAGTATTATGCTTATTAGGATGATTCTGATGATCATGACTATTATGATTATTATGCGTACTGTTATCATCATGATAGTTGTGATTATGATTATGGTAATTACTGTAGAGCTGGGTTTTAGGAGGGTTTCGGGCTCCAAGGTCTTCTGGTTTGTTTGGGACCTTCAAGCTTCGACCCCAGGCAGCAAAATTTCAAAGGGTTCTCAGTAGTAGGACTTGTCCCTAAACCCTAAACCTTAAACCCTAAACCCTAAACCCTAAGCCCTAAAGGGTTTCGCCTAAGGGGACGGCGTCCTTACCGAAGTCATTCAGGCCCTACGTCCCCCGTAAACCCTAAGACCCTAAAAGCTAGACAAACCAAAAGAATCTAACCCTTAAACCTTAAGCCCCAAACCCTAAACCCTAAACCCTAAACCCTAAACCCTAAACCCTAAACCCTAAACCCTAAACCCTAAACCCTAAACCCTAAACCCTAAACCCGGAATTCCCCAAGCGTAGGTTGGTGTGTTCGTGGGAGATAAAGACATCTCCTTGCTGCTGGACACGGCGAAATCGCACTTCCAGGACCGGGTCTTTGGGATCTGTTGAGTTGGAGGGTTGACAGGGTTTAGGGTTTAGGGTTTAGGGTTTAGGGTTTAGGGTTTAGGGTTTAGGGTTTAGGGTTCAAGATTTAGGGTCTTGGCACTGAGTACCCTTCGGAGAGAGTCAGGACAATTGGGCTACCCGAAGCCCTCAAATATGAACCTTATGTTGACCATTCAGCACATTGTCGATTTCAGGGTCCGACCGTGCAGCCCTAAACCCTGAACCTATACCCTAAACCCTAAACCTCAAACCCCAAACCCCAAACCGCAAACCCTAAACCCCAAACCCTAAACCCCAAAAGAAGTGCGTTGCCCGGCAGGATCGGCGACACCGGCTGCCCCACTTCTTGGCGGTTGCGACGAAGGAGGGTGGATGAGGTTCGAGAAGGACCATGCAGCCATGGGGTTGAATGTTGGGATGTCTGAGGCTTAGGGGGGTTTAGGGCTTGGGGGTCTAGGGTTTAGGGGTTAGGGTTTAGGGCTTATGGATTGGGATGTTCCCCCTTATAGCAAGGACTATAGTACCCTTATTTTGAATAAGCCCTATGAAGGACTGTTAGTATAAGGAACATCCAAAGTTGAATGCTCTTTGTGGGTTTTGAGCCCCTACCCCCGGGTGTAGGTTTTTGGTTTAGGGTCTAGGGTTAAGGGGTTGGACTTTATTTGTGGCTCTGTGATCCTATGGTTTAGGTTTTTTTTCGGCTTTTTGTTCAGTGCTTGGGCTCAAGTAACCTGCACAGGTCCAAAACGCGTCGCGATTGCTGGTTGAACGTTTAGAGAGCTTTCGGAGGCTTTCAGACTCGAGTTTGCAAACAGTAGTGTATCAGGCCAGCCCCCGTGAAACGCATCTAGCTACCTTTTTTTCTCCGGGGAAAGCTAGAAGCACCTTGTTTCGGGTAGCTAGGCCGTTCAGGGCAAACCCCTAACCCTAGACCCTAAACCCTACACCCTATACCCAAAACCCTAAACCCTCAACCCTAAACCCTCAAACCAGCCCTCAGACAGGACCCTAGGCGCGTGTGAAAGTTAGCGCCACCCCTCAAAGGGGCTGGCAGCTCCTAGATTCGCACTGGCTGGGCTCATGATCAGCAGACCTCCACTCCAAGAAAGGCTTTAAGGCTGTCACTCCCACCCTAAAAACCCTAAACCCTAAACCCTAAACCCTAAACCCCAAACCCTAAACCCTAAACCCTAAACCCTAAACCCTAAACCCTAAACCCTACGCCCTAAACCAGAACCCGAGCCCGGCCAGGGAGGGCAGGCGAAAAGCGCCCCGCCCTTTGTGCATACCAAGCATGCTAGCGGAAGGTGCAGACACCCCTGCTCTAGGTCCAGAAATTACACCTAAGGGTTTAGGGTTTAGGGTTTAAGGTTTAGGGTTTAGGGTTCAGGGTTCAGGATTTAGTGTTTAGGGTTCAACAGCTATAGGCCCGAGATCGCAGCCCGTGGGTTGCCTTAGGGTTCAAGCTTTTGGGTGTAGAGTTTAGGGTGTGGGGTGCAACCAACGTCCTTATCGCCTTCACAGGCACCTTACCCATCTATAAACCCTAGCGAAATACAGGGGTCGGAAAAGTACTAGTAGCATTCCCTTACGGCCCCTTTATAATCACCCATACCACAATAACCCTATTTTAAATATTCAGGCCCCTATATTATTCTGGAAGCCCATGCCCTCGACCAAGAGCGACGCTGCACCTCTCTGGATAAAAGACTCGGGTTGGGATGACCACATGCACTGCCATGCACAAACAAAGACAGACATTACATTCGTTCTTAAGCCCTAGACCCCCTATATACCCCTCGAAAAGAGGGATATTCCCTCGCCCCGCCCTCAAAAAAAGGGATATCGACATGAAGTTACTGAAGCCCCCCTAAACCCTGAACCCTAAACCCTAAACCCTCAGCCCCTCGTCTCCCTTGCACTGAAGTTTGAGCTCTTTGAGGTTGTTTCTTGCTGCGGTGCCCTAAACCCTAAACCCTAAACCCTAAACCCTAAACCCTAAACCCTAAACCCTAAACCCTAAACCCGAAACCCTAAACCCTTAACCCTTAACCCTAAACCCTAATACACTAATTGCAGGGACTGACAGGCTGACGTTCGACAAGTTTGCACACCAACCTTAGGGTTCAGGGTTTAGGGTTTCGGGTTTAGGGTTTAGGGTTTAGGGTTTAGGGTTTCGGGTTGGGGTTTGGGGTTTGGGGCTTGGGGTTTAGGGTTTAGGGGTTCGCGTTTGGGGCTTGGGGTTAGGGTTTAGGGTCTAGGGTCTAGGGTTCAGGGTTTAGGGTTTGTAGAGTGTAGGGTTTAGAGACAGGACGCCTATGTCTCGGCCTTGATCCCAGGATTCACACACAGGGTTTAGGGTTTAGGGTTTAGGGTTTAGGGTTTAGGGTTTAGGGTTCGTAGGGTGTCGGGCGTAGGTCTCAGGCTTCGATTGGGCAATGCAGCGCAGCTTTTGTCACGACTTGTATCTCGCGGTGAAGGTTCAGAGTTTAGGGTTTAGGGTTTGGGGTTCAGGGTTTGGGGTTTAGGGCCCCTCTATAGCTCGACATACCCCATGAGAATTCGAATGCGCGCAGGTCCGCGGTCCGCCCCCCAAGTTTTCAGGAGCCTTTGCAAGCAACGTCCTCAGCCACCCCCGGCGCCACAAGTAGCATCCCCGAACCCGAAATCCTAAACTCAATAAGCAAACCCTAAACCCTAAACCCTAAACCCTAAACCCTCAATAAACCATACTTTCGTCGTAGAACTCCCAGCCTTCTGTACACGGCCTGCAGCATGGCGAAGCTGTGGCAGGGTGCCGACCTCGGGTTTCGGGTTTAGGGTTTCGGGTTTAGGGTTTAGGGTTTAGGTTTTAGGGTTTAGTGTTTATAGGGTTTAGGGTTTAGGGTTTAGGGTTTAGGGCTTACGTCGGGTTTAGTTTTTTAGGGTTCCGTACGCCCTGAACCCTAAACCCTAAACCTTAAACCAAGGACCCTAAGCATGCAGTCTGCCAGGGTTTAGGGTTTGCCGAAAGCAGCCCCAGGGACAAACTGAGGGGGGATGTTCTTGTGGCCCTAGGTCTTGGTTCCTTGCAGCGATCGACCCGTATGGGGCTTGCAACCAGCCTGCTGGTTGCCGGGTTCAAGTTTCTCGAGTTTACCTAAACCCTAAACCCTAAACCCTAAACCCTAAACCCTAAACCCGAAACCCGAAACCCTAAACCCGACAGATGCCTCTTTTTCAGCTGCCGGGTTGGAGCTTGGGATTTGAGGGTCACAGTCGAAACCTTAAACCCTAAACCCCTAAACCCTTGTGAAAGCCTGAAACCCCAAACCCCAAGCCCCAAGCCCTAAACCCTAAACCCCAAACCCTAAACCCTAAACCCTTAACTTAAACATGACTCGCAAGGGTGGTGAAGCCCCCGAGGTGCCGGTGGGAGTGGACTCCATCCGCTGGTGGAGGCCTACACCGCCCGGGGCACCCAGTCTAGGGTTGAGGGTTTGGGGTTTAGGGTGTAGGGTTTGGGGTTTAGGGTTAAGGTTCAGTGTTTGAGGTTCAGGGTTTTGCGTTTAGGAGATGTTGCATGGCAGGGGTTAAGGGTACATGGTCCATGTACGAAAACACGACCTAGGTTGCTTGCAACTAGAAGTGTCTGAGTCAGTATCAGGTTTGGGTTTAGTTAGGGTTTATGGCTTACCGTGATGTGTTTTACGGACTTTGGGTTTACGCATTTCGGGTTTCACAGCGTTCCCGCAAAGCGTCCTCCTAAAGGGATACCCCGCAAGAACCCACGACCTAAAGTAGCCCAAAGCCTCAGACCTCTAATTCCTGACCCTCCAGTCGAATAGCTGCAGATGTGTCTGGGCAACCCTAAACCCTAAACCCTAAACCCTAAACCCTAAACCCTAAAACCGCAGCTGAGGTGGGTGAGGACTACCGCTTCGATGGCGAGTACCTCCTACCTTACGACCTGAAGGCTCCATTCCGTCTGAAACTTAGGGTTTAAGGTTTAGGGTTGAGGGTTGAGGGTTGAGGGTTTAGGGTTTAGGGTTTAGGGTTTAGGGTTGAGGGTTTAGGGTTTAGGGGTTAGGGTTGGGACTGGCTCTCTTGAACAGGGATCTTATTCAGTGGGTCTATATCCCCAAGGGTCCCCCTAATCCTATCCCCTAGAATGGATCCTCGGACCGTTGGCGTGTAGTTGGGAGAGGGGGATGTGGATCAAGCCACGCCTCTTTTTTGGGTTCAGGGTTTTGGGGTTTATAGGGTTTACATGGATGCATGAGGGTAAGGGACCCTACACCCTAAACCCTACACCCTAAACCCGAAACCCGAAACCCTAAACCCTAAACCCCAAACCCCAAACCCTAAACCCTAAACCCTAAACCCTAAATCCTAGGCCGGGCTTTAGGGCCTTGGGGTTTCCAGCATGGGGCTTGGAAGAGATCAGCATGCCAGGTGCTTGAACCTGCGCATGCTGGATTCCTCTGCCCTATTCTCGGAGAAAAACAACTCAGGAACCCTAAGCCCTGAACCCTAATCCCTAAACCCTAAACCCAAAACCCTAAACCCTAAACCCTAACCCTACTGTTGTCATTGCCTTTAGCACCATTTTCAGATTCAGGGAGCTCCCTAAACATTCAGGGTTTGGGTTTCGGGTTCGGCTGAGGGTTTAGGGTTTTTAGGGATTAGGGTTCGGGGTTCAGGGTTTCGGTTTTAGGGTGTAGGGCAAACCCAAGCTCTCAGCCCTGTTTTTCCTGCTTGGGCAGTTGAGGAAAAAGCCCTGAAGCCTACTCATCTGTCAGCCCAAGCCCAAGGTATGGCTGGATTGCCCCTTTTCCTCATTTTCCGCGGCCGGCTGGCCCATCTGGCGCTGAAGTTTTAGGTTGTCCAGCCCCCCTTTGTTTTTGCAGCGCTGTCGTTGCATCCTACAAAAATGCGGCGCTGGCTTGGTCGCGTCGCGTCCCAAACAGCGAAGAATGCCGAAAGCAAATGTCCCTGCCGATTGCTTCATGGTTTAGGCTACGTACACACCAACCCTGCTCAAACGTTGCGTTTTATTTCTTCAGAATCGCTGGGCCTTCCCCGGCCCAGGAAGCTGGCAGCCTGGACCCCACACCCTAAAGCTGCAACCCTGTTAAACCGCGCGTGCGGCATGGACGGAATCATCGTGCCTGCAGGCGTGGGTGACCGGCATGTCACCCATGCACAGGAGACTGTAAATACCGATGTCAACGACATTTGTTCCGGGGGCGAACGAGATTATTCCGCAGGAGGCTGCAGGAAGCGAGATTGGAGTTTCTAAACCCATGAACCTGCAACCCTAGATAAACACTCACGGCAACGCGCAATGAACCGGAGGCTAGCGAAGCCCATGCAACCATGCCGCTCGGATGGCCT